TTGTTTTTTTTTTGAGACAGTCTTGCTCTGTCCCCGAGGCTGGAGTGGCGCAATCTTGGCTCACTGCAAGCTCCGCCTCCGAGGTTCACGCCATTCTCCTGCCTCAACCTCCCGAGTAGCTGGGACTACAGGTGCCTGCCACCACGCCCAGCTAATTTTTTTTTTTTTTTTTTTTGTATTTTAGTAGAGACGGGATTTCACCGTGTTAGCCAGGATGGTCTCAATCTCCTGACCTCGTGATCCATCCACCTCGGCCTTACAAAGTGCTGGGATTACAGGCGTGAGCCACTGCACCCGGCCTTGACATCCTCTTTTTAAGCGTACTATATGCTTATTCACTTTTAAATGTTTGCTATTATATTTTTGTAAACATGTTCAAGTTTTTCTGTAAAATAAAATTTTTAGAAATGAAATCCCTCAGGCCAGGTACGGTGACTCACTCCTGTAATCCCAGCACTTTGGGAGGCTAAAGTGGGCAGATCACCTGAGGCTGGGAGTTTGCGACCAGCCTGACCAACATAGAGAAACCCCATCTCTACTAAAAATACAAAATTAGCCAGGGGTGGTGGTGCATGCCTGCAATCCAGCTACTCGGGAGGCTGAGGTAGGAGAATCACTTGAACCCAGGAGGCAGGGGTTGCAGTGAGCCAAGATCGCGCCCCTGTACTCCAGCCTGGGCAACAGGAGCAAAACTCCGCCTCAAAAAAAAAATGGAATCCCTCAAAGGATATATACATTTTTAAATGATATTAAAGAGTACCAAATTTCCCCTTAAAAACTTTGATTTCACTTTACAACCCCAGTAATACAGTATGAGTGCCTCTTTTTTCATCCTTTGGTCAATGCAAGATAGAATAATCTTTTGAGCCTGGGCACGTTGGTTCACATCTGTAATCCCAGCATTTTAGGAGGCCGAGGCTGGCGGATAGGTTGAGCTTATGAGTTCGAGACCTGCCTGGCCAACATGGTGAAACCTCGTCTCTACAAAAAATACAAAAGTTAGCTGGATGTGGTGATGCATGCCTGTAGTCCCAGCCACTCGGGGGGCTGAGGTGGGAGGATGGCTTGAGCCTGGGAGGCAGAGGTTGCAGTGAGCCAAGATTGTGCCACTGCACTCCAGCCTGGGCAACAGAGCCAGACCCTGCCTCAAAAAAAAAAAAGAAAAGAAAAAGAATAATCTTTTGAATTGTTGCCAGTCTTATGCAGGTGAGAAATGATAGCTATCTCGTTGCTTTAGTTTGCATTTCTCTCTCACTAATGAGACTGAGCATGTTTTGAGATGTTCGCAGGCCATTTTTCTTTGTTCTTCTGTGAATCACCTATCTATATCCTTTGCACATTTTCAGTAGTGATTGCTTTTTTCTTATTGATATACGATAGCTGTTTATTATGGATACAATATAAGTAGTTTTGTATTTAAAAATTGTGAGAGCCAAGTACAATGGTGCACACCTGTAGTCCCAGCTTCTTAGGAGGCTGAGACGAGAGGATTGCTTGAGGCCAAGAGTTTGAGTCCAGCCTGGGCAATATAACAAGACCCTGTCTCTTGAAAAAAAAAATAAAAGAAGCAAAAGGAAGGATTTTAAAAGCTCATGTATTGATACCTTTTTTTCCTCTAGGTGCTCCAGCGCCTGAGTTGTATGGCCATCAAGGGAGATATGTTCTTGGTGGCCAATCTTGGGACAAAGCAGCCTTGTCATAGCAGTGACCCAGGGTGCCCAAATGATGGGAGATACCAGTTCAACACAAATGTCGTGTTCAGCAATAAGGGAACCCTTGTTGACCGCTACCGTAAACACAACCTGTACTTTGAGGCAGCGTTTGATGTTCCTCTTAACGTGGATCACATCACCTTTGATACCCCCTTTGCTGGCAGGTTTGGCATCTTCACGTGCTTTGATATATTGTTCTTTGACCCTGCCGTCAGACTCCTCAGAGACTACAAGGTGAAGCATGTTGTGTACCCGACTGCCTGGATGAACCAGCTCCCACTCTTGGCAGCAATTGAGATTCAGAAAGCTTTTGCTGTTGCCTTTGGCATCAACGTTCTGGCAGCTAATGTCCACCACCCAGTTCTGGGGATGACAGGGAGTGGCATACACACCCCTCTGGAGTCCTTTTGGTACCATGACATGGAGAATCCCGAAAGTCACCTTATAATTGCCCAGGTGGCCAAAAATCCAGTGGGTCTCATTGGTGCAGAGAATGCAACAGGCGAAACGGACCCATCCCATAGTAAGTTTTTAAAAATTTTGTCAGGCGATCCGTACTGTGAGAAGGATGCTCAGGAAGTCCACTGTGATGAAGCCACCAAGTGGAACATGAATGCTCCTCCCACATTTCACTCTGAGATGATGTATGACAATTTCACCCTGGTCCCTGTCTGGGGAAAGGAAGGCTATCTCCACGTCTGTTCAAATGGCCTCTGCTGTTATTTACTTTACGAGAGGCCCACCTTATCCGAAGAGCTGTATGCCCTGGGGGTCTTTGATGGGCTTCACACAGTACATGGCACTTACTACATCCAGGTGTGTGCCTTGGTCAGGTGTGGGGGTCTTGGCTTCGGCACCTGTGGACAGGAGATCACAGAGGCCACAGGGATATTCGAGTTTCACCTGTGGGGCAACTTCAGTACTTCCTACATCTTTCCTTTGTTTCTGACCTCGGGGATGACCCTAGAAGTCCCTGACCAGCTTGGCTGGGAGAAGGACCACTATTTCCTGAGGAAGAGTGGGCTGTCCTCCGGGCTGGTGACGGCAGCTCTCTATGGGCGCTTGTATGAGAGGGACTAGGAAAAGTATGTGGTCTGTGGGGCGGACTCTGGCCATCATGGTGACAGCCTTGCACTTCCACAGGCTACAAGCCCTGGGACCACCTTTCTGCCTTAAGGGCAGGAGCCCACTTCTGTGGCACCAGATTCCACCCTGGGGACTGTGGAACAAGTAGGAGAGGCAGATTCCCTCAGTGTCTTCCTCTTAAACCTCAATCATCGAGACATTAGCTGGTATTTTCTATTCACATTTATCTTTTTCAAGCCACATCTTCCTCTAACAAATCTCTCAGTATGCAATTGGTCTCAAGCTAAAACAAAAATAAATGTCAGTTTCTATTTTACACATCCACAAGGTAGTGGCTTGGGTTTTTGTTGTTGTTGTTGTTGTTGTTGTTGTTGTTTTTAATCTTGTTGATCAAGTGACTTACCCAGGACATGTAAATATTTCATAAGCCTTAAACATTTTCTGAGGTAAGAAACAAGCTCTCAAAGCAAAAGCTCGATTAGAAATGGCCCCTGTGGGGAACTTTCCCATTCTGGCCAACCGGAACTCTATCCAGATGAAATGGCAATGCTAGCTCCACCGGCAGCGTCAGAAATGTAGACCTTAAAGCGGCTTTTAAAAATAGAAAAGAAGTGTTCCTCACATCTGCCAGTAATGGAATTTTCTGTCAGTAAATGGAATGTGTAGGCAGGACCTGGAATAACTGGAGAGAGTGCAGCGCTTCGGGGTGAAGGGCGGGTGGGGACTGGAAAATGTTGAGATGGGGGCAGCCATGGGAAGGTATGAGTAATAGAATTCTTTCTGTACAACACAGCTCATCCGGGGATACCAGGGACCTTAATAAATCACAGTAGCTTTGGGCAAGAGTTGGGCACGTTGCCTGACTGTGCAGGATGGCTTGATGCTGGTATCATTTGATCCGGAGCCCTATAGAGGATCTCCTTGCTTAGCAGCGATGCTTGGCACCCCATAGAGATAAGTTGCAAGGACTACCATGAAGGGCGTGGAGGGTGGCCTACTTCAGTCATGCATGTATTCAATCACCCAACAAGCACAGAGCAGGAGCTTCCCATGTCAGGAATTCCAGACGCAAAATTACCAGATTGAATATGGTGAAGACGTTTTTAGGCCACTGGTTTCTGTGTAATTTGTGTCCAACATTTCACAGCCATTTTAAAAAGGATTTTGACTTCATGCCTAGTAGCTGTTTCAGATCATTTTTTAAGTGCAGAATGGATAATTAGTCTTCAGTGATTTGCCTCTTAAATGTGGCCATTTAGTTTGAACCCCTTTTTAGTTTTTTAAACAGTATGTGCTTAAACATCACACAATTTTATAAAGCAAGAAAAAAAATGAAACGAACTCCCTATTCCCCCCACGGTGTAGGCCTTCAGATCCTTTTCTGGCTTTTAGGCAGGATAATTAACAACATGGATTCTACGGTCAGACTGATGGGGTTTCCATCCATGGCCTCACCATCTACCCCTCACTGGGAGACCTGGGGCCTCAGTTTTTTATTCGTAGAATGCATGTTGAATAAACCATGTGGGAAAAAGCAGAGCCAGCACCAGCCCCTGCTGACTCACTGATCCCTCGAAAAGGTCTGGGATGAGTCAAGTCTTCAGGGAATAAGCAGGAAGGACTTGAAATTCCTGAGCAAGCCCCGGGTTCCCCACGCCCTAGGAAGTCCCTCTGGAAGGGGAGCAGGACCTCTCCCATCAAATGGCAGAGTTTGCTTTCCCGCCCAGTGCAGCTCCCACCAGGCGTGAGCTGGCAGGCCGGAAGTGGCCCCAGATGTGGCTGTCCGCCGCCCACTCTGCTTCTCTGCCTCAAACCCCAGGGAGACAGAAATTCCCTAAAAATGCATATCATTGCTTTATGCCAAGATGATTCAAATAAGCCTGAGAAAGAGAGGCCAGTTCTAAATACAGACTTGGCAGAACTACTTCACCCAGTAAACATCTAAAAAGCACCTGCAAGATCCTAATTCCGCCCTTCTGGGCAGAGTACCACGAACTTTCCCTGAGTTATTTTCTACCAACAATTTAGAATGAATTGCTCGTGAAGTAGAATGAGGGGAAAAGCAAATAATGGTGGTAGAACAAAGTAATTTTTACAATTCAAAGAAGTGGCTGCCAGCTGACAGAACAAAGTAGAGGATGGGAAAATAAATCATTTTCAGGGAAAAAATACACCTATGACTAATGGTTGTGATACGCTTTCGTCGATTGTAGTCCTGAAATGCAGGAAGCAAATGGCAATCTTGACCACAACATGGAGACAGGAAATCAAATGCATTTTTGGCTAAACCAGTCTTGGGGGAAGTAGCTTGGTTTGCGTGGTTTCTCATGTAGGTGCAGCTGTGCTTTTCTGTGGTTTTTCTCACACGGGAAGTGAGAGGCACAGTGAGCTGTATTCACACTGGATTTAAAAGCCCTGTTCTTAGAGAGGAAAAAACCACGCCTCCTCACAGACTGCCAAGTCCCAGAGTCCACCACGTCCGCTCCCAAGACAGAGGCCTGTTCGGAGCCCCTGCTGAGGGAAACCCACCTAGGCCACTTTTCCCCACAGGTGGCCCTGCTTGGTATCTGAGCCCCCAACCCCCAGCCATGGCGTATTGAACCAGGAGGAGGCACCCGGAGGTGTCCCAGCACAGCAGATCTGCTCAGAGAGGACCGGCGGTGAGTTAGCCGCTCCGATTCTCAGTGAAACCCGGAACTGCTCAAGTGAAATGACCACTCAAAGAAGAATTTCTCAACAAAGTGGGTTTATATAGGACAACATAGAAAGGCATAAAAGTATGAAATGTATTGTGCACAAAGGCCTAGATTTGAGACAAGAGCTGATGTGGCCTGAAGATCTGTGAGTAGGACTGCTTGGGGGGCCGTGTTGCTTCTCAGGCCAGAGAAAGGTCCTGGTCTGCTGGCTTCAGTCTTTCACTCCCTAACCCCCCTTTGAATGTTAGTTACCTATTCCCACAGAACAAACTGCCCCAAAACTTAATGGCTTAAAACAAGCATGGACATTGTTAATTCACCCAGTTTTGTGGGGCAGGAAAATGGGTCTCTCATGAGGCTACAGTCAAGATGTCAGCCAGGGCTGCAGCTGGTTGAAGGCCTCACTGGATTTGGAGAATATTATTAGTTGAATAGTGTTTTCCCCTAAAAAGATACGTTGTGATCCTAACCCCTAGTAGCTCAGAAGGTGGCCTTATTTGGAAATAGGGTCTTTGAGGATGTGATGAAGATATAAGTTAAGATGAGGTCACACTGGAGTAGGTGGGCCCTTAATCCAATATGACATGTCCTTGTCAGAAGAGGAGAAGACACACACACACGTGACAACAGGAGCAGAGGTCACAGGGATGCCTCTACCAGACAAGGCACACCAGAAATTGTTTGCCAACAAACACCAGAAGTTACAAGAGGCAAGAAACGACCCCCCACACACAACCAACCCCTGCAGGTTTCAGAAGCAGCATGGCTCTGCCAACACCTTGATTTTGGATTTCCAGCTTCCACAACTATGAGACAATATGTTTCCGTTGTTTGAAGCCACCCAGTTCAGGGTACTTCCATATGGCAGACCTAGGAAACAAATACAGAGGATCAGATCACTTGCAAAATGGCCCATTCTGGCAAGTTGGTGCTGGCTGCTAGCAGAAGGTCTCAGTTCCTCACCACATGGGCCTTTCCATAGGGATAGCTGAGTGTCCTCACGATGTGGCCCCTGGCTTCCCCTGAAGCAAGTGATCCAAGAGAGCACAGGTGGAGCCATGATGTCTTCCATGATCTAGTCTCAGAAGTCACACTGCAACATTTGGCACCATCTTATTGAGTTACCCAGGTCAGCCCTGCTCTCTGTGGAAAGAGACAGAGGGTGTTAGATGCTCAGAGGTGAATCTCATTGGGTACCATCTGGAGATGGGCTACCACTCTGCTCAATCCAAATCACAGCTCTCCTGTTTCTCACCTCCCAACAGTTCCTGTTCCTCAGGCCGAAGTTCACATTCTCCACAGCCTCAGCTCCGCCTGACCTCTGAGCTCACATGATGTCCCTTACTGTGAACCTGGGTCTCTGGTCCAGCCACAGCTACTTCTTTAAGCTCCTCCAGTGTTCTGAGCACAATCTGGCACCTGTACTGTTGTCTGCTTGATATGACGTCTTCTGATGAACACGCATCCATCCTTCAAGGTCTACTCTCTCATCACAGCTTGTGACTCTTCCCCTTATTGAACTGGTGTTTCCCATTCCCAGTTCCCAGAGCCCTTTCTCATTGAACTATTTATCTGAGTTCTCTCTGCTGGAACGTGAGCCATGGCGAGAGTAGCCACCTAGCAGTGAGTGACGGCTCTGTGCTGGATGCACATAAATGGTCTCCCTTAACCTCCATGAGCCCTAAAGAAGGTTTGCTACAGCTATTTTGCAGATGGAGAATATTAACAGAGAGATATTAATGAATTGCTCACATGCAAACATGTGCTGAGTCTTGGATTTGCATCTTCTTTATAGTGACTCCACGGAGACCCACCCTCTAAGACCGGAGCCAGTGCCCTATTCATCTTTTGTCTTTGCAAAAACAACAAAACATTATTTCCATTTGGAAAGTTTTTTTGATTTTTGTGTTTAGTACTGAAGTAAAACAAAATCTAAATAACAGCTGCACCATTAAAAATGAAATTCCCAATATCTGAACTCTAGACATCATGCATATATAATTTTTTCCTAGATAACTTTTCTTCTCATTTTCCTTCTCCTTCTCCTCATCTTTTTCTTTTTCTTTGAGCAAAAAAAAAAAAAAAGAGAATTGACTAACTCATAACTGGGGAGTCTAAGAATAAATTCTCTTAAGGCATTGCTGAATCCAGGGGCTCAAATGATGTCTCTGGACACAGTATCACACTCTACTCCGCACTCTTCTTTATCATTTTCGCCCACAGACAGACTCTCCATGTAGTTGCGACAATGGCCATGACAGTTCTAGACTGTCTTTCAGCAACTCCAGAGAAGAAGTCCCTAATAAAAGTCTCAGGGCTGAACAAGCTGGGCTCTTGCTTAGGGCACATGCCCTCCTGACTCAATGATTGGCCAGAGGGCTGTGATACTTTTTTTTTTCTTTCTTTCTTTCTTTCTTTTTTTTTTTTTTTGAGATGGAGGCTCACTCTGACGCCCAGGCTGGAGTGCAGTGGCACGATCTCTGCTCATTGCAACCTCCACCTCCCTGGTTCAAGGAATTCTCCTGCCTCAGCCTCCCCAGTAGCTGGGATTACAGGCACGTGCCAACAAGCCTGGCGAATTTTTTGTATTTTTATAGAGACAGGGTTTCACCGCGTTAGCCAGGATGGTCTCGATCTCCTGACCTTGTGATCTGCCCACGTCGGCCTCCCAAAGTGCTGGAATTACAGGCGTGAGCCACCGCACCTGGCCAGGGCTGTGATATTCTGATTGGCCAGCACTGAGTCACATGGCCACCGTCAGGGTGAGGGATGATACATTTAGCTCTGACCTGAAATTCATGGATTGAGGGGTGGGGGCTGTTTCGCAGGGAACACTGGGACAGCGTTACCAGGGTTAAGGGAGCGGGATATAGTAGGTCCAAAAGAGTAAATGTCCACGAGATTTTTTTCCTCTGAGCAGAAATTTCACCGTGATTCAATCAGGTATTGCTGTCGTTGGGGCCATGGCAGGAGGGAGACAGCAAATCTTGATTAGTTGAGGAGAGCTTAAGAACAGAGTGATTTACACAGGTGTGGGCAGGATGTAGGGGAACCCGGAAAGGATAATGCACTACCCAGGGGCTAGTGAGAGCAGGAGCTATGAGCGCCCCAGGCCTGAAGGTGTGAAGGGCTGAAGTGGTTACCAGAAGCGGGAGAGGGAAGCTTATGGAGAGAGCAGCCTGGCGGGAGCAGGGGCTGTGAGAGACACAGCCAGACCGTAGTGGTGTGACAGGTGGAGACCTGGGCGATCCATATCCTGTCTCCTCTCTCTTCTCTGCTCCGGACTCCTGCTGCGACTTACCCCTGGCTGGACCCAACAGGAAAGCAGAGGACAAGATAATCTGGTTGGTGCTATCTAGAAGTCAGTGTTGGGGGTCACAAAACAGAATGGAGAGGGGTAGAGCATGCAGGGAAGACAAATGCAGCCCTGGCATGGTTCTTCCAGAACATTCTGCAAGCTCATAAACCAGTTCATTTGAGAAGAAATAGAGGAGTTAGGGGAGAGAGAAGCTTCTTCATGAACATAACCTTGGTAGCTAGTCTCAAGATCAGCCCCCAGTGCTCCCCACCTGCTGGGACCAGTTATGTAACACTTCCCACATTTTTCTGGGGTCGTTTTGTGTAGCCAGTAAAACATGGCAGATACGATGGCATGTTACTTCTGAAATTGGGTTATAAAAGATACTGCAGGCCGCGCATGGTGGCTTACGCCTATAATCCCAGCGCTTTGGGAGGCCGAGGCTGGTGGATCACAAGGTCAGGAGTTCACGACCAGCCTGGCCAATGTGGTGAAACCCCGTCTCTACTAAAAATACAAAAATTAGCTGGGCGTGGTGGCACATGCCTGTAGTCGCAGCTACTTGGGAAGCTGAGGCAGAAGAATCGCTTGAACCCGGGAGGCAGAGGTTGCAGTGAGCTGAGATCGCTGAGATCACACCACTGCCCTCCAGTCTGGGCAACAGAGAGACACTCCATCTCCAAAAAAAAAAAAAGATACTGCAGCTTCTATCTTGGTTGCTCACTTGCTATCTTGGGTCCCTCCCTCTGGGGAAAGTCAGTTGCCATCTCTCAAGGATCCCAATGGACAGGCCCATTTGGCAAGGAACAGCCACCAGCTAGTTGCATGAGTGAGCCGTGTTGGAAGTGGATCCTCCAGCCGCAGTCAAGCTTCCAGATGACAACTGCCCTGGGAAACGACTGTAGCCTCATGAGAGACCCTGAGCCAGAACCACCCCATGAAGTCACTCTTGATTTCCTAAGTCTCAGAAACTGTAAAATATAAATGTGTGTTGTTTTAAAATTCTAGGTTTTGAGGTAATTTGTTATACAGCAATAGATAAACACGATAATCTTGCTACCAGCGCCTTAATCTCCCACATCAAAGTTAAAATTCATCCAACACTCAATCTCCCAGCTATGCTGACTGCTCCTAATCAGGTATCTCTCCCACTATATATATATATATATATTTCTATTAGTGGCCATTATTTGTTGGGTTTCACAAAGCCAGAATTCATCTACATCTACTCTCTTTTCTTCTGGTTTTGAATAGCAAAATGCAGCAGGGAGATGTTCTCAGAGGCAGAACAACAAAAAGAAGGGTCCATGCTGAACAGAACTTGGTTGCTTTGAAATCGGAAGTTCTAGAGGAGGTATTCTGATAGTGGCCATGAAAATCTTCTGCCCCCAGAATTTTGTCTAACCCACCCCACACAGAGTTATCCAACAGCCTGGTATGGTACAGATCAGGAGCTCTCAAAAGGTGGGCCCCAGGCAGCAGCACCAGTAGCACCTGGGAAATTGTTGGAAATGCAAATTCCTGGGTTCCACCCCAGATCACCTTAATTGGACTCTCTGGGAGTAGGGCCCATCAATCTGTGTTTAGCAAGCCTTCCAGGTGATTCTGATCCTAATCAAGTGTGAGCCCACTGTCTAATGTGGTGCATACCAAAGCGGGTGCACGGGTCTTAATCATCACCTTAGTCCTCTGAAACAGGCAAGTGTGTCCATTTTACAGAAGAAGGAACTAAGGCCTGGAAGGGAAGTCCTTGCCCGAGACTAAACAGAATCCCAGCAACATAGGGCAAGCCTGGAATTCCCACCCCGGACCAGTGCACAGCCAGTGCTTCCACATCGCCAACCCAGAAATGTTTTCTCTCCGCATCATGCTCATTTTCAACCCTTTCTGGGTGACTTATTCATCATCCAAATATATTATTTGTGTTTTGTTTGACTAAAGGCAATTACATTTACATTTTCTCGAAGTACTGGAATGTAATGGGTGAAATTCCTACCAGTGATCTGGAAGAACTCTAAGGGTCTAAAGTGATTCTTTCATAATTAAAGATATGATGATGTATAATGTGATTTGTAAGATAAGGTATAACTTTGGGGGTGTTCTAATTCTTTAAAAATTGTTGATCCAACTATGGATGTCTTGCAACTCTCAAAAAATCATGTGTGAAAATTAAGCATTAGTTCCGTGTAAAATACAGTGCTAGAAACTGTGGAGGATGCAAAGTCGCAGAAGACTGTTACTGTTTTTTAAAATTGATTTTTTAAAAATAGAGACAGGGTTTCGCCATATTGGCCAGGCTGAATCTCAAGTGATCTGCCTCCTTCAGCCTCCCAAAGTGCTGGGATTACAGGCATGAGCCGTCGCGCCCAGCCAAGACTGTCACCTTTAGAGAGAGCTTATTATCACCTAGTGTTCATGTAAACACAGGATTTAAATACACACATACCCCCCAAAACAAATTGCTAAAGGATATTTGTGCACATTTTATTTTTCCAGATGGCTACCACAATATTTGAAGAACTAACAAGTTTAAAAATGTAAAAGGCCAGTAAGGCAACATTGGGCACTGGGGCAAGTGAAGGGGAGGGAAGAAGCATGAAGTCAGGGGAGGGGGCAGTGGCTGATTCTGCAGGCTCTGCAGGCTGGGGGCAGAGTTAGGGTTTATGTGGGCAGGCAGCATTGCAGAGGATTAGGCAGGGGAATAACATGGTCATTTAAAATGATTCTTCTGACTGATGACAGGTTTTCAGATGCTTCATCTCCTCCTCCAGTCACCTCGTGTCCAAGCCATGAGGACTCACTGAGGGGAACGTAATAAATAGTAATTTAAGGGAAAAAATAACAATTAAAAAATCTATAACAGCAGTTTAAGGGACAAAAACCAAAAAATTTACTTGGAATTATTCATGTTAAGCTTAACATTTTCTAATATAGTCCTGCATCCATTTTTTTGTTTTTGAGATGACATCTCGCTTTGTGGCGATCTTGGCTCACTTCACCCTCTGCCTCTCAGGTTCAAATGATTCTCCCGCCTCAGCCTCCTGAATAACTGGGATTATAGGCATCTGCCACCACACTTGGCTAATTTTTTTTTTTTTTTTTAGATGGAATTTTGCTCTTGTTGCCCAAGCTAGAGTAAATGGCATGATCTTGGCTCGCCACAACCTCCACCTCCCAGGTTCAAGCGATTCTCCTGCCTCAGCCTCCCGAGTAACTGGGATTACAGGCATGCACGACCACACCTGGCTAATTTTGTATTTTTAGTAGAGATGGAGTTTCTCCACGTTGGTCACACTGGTCTCAAACTCCCGACCTCAGTGATCTGCCTACCTCGGCCTCCCAAAGTGTTGGGATTACAGGTGTGAGCCACTGTGCCTGACCTGTATCAGTTTTTAAAAGACTGTCAGACACGTCAAAGTCACAGGAGGAAAAACCCCTACATTCATGCACAACAGAAAGGCTTTGTTTTCAGTAAACATGCACATCTTCAAAGAATGGTTGCAATCCAAATTGTTTAGTAACTATTAGAAGAACAAAGAAGGCTGTGTCCTCTGAATTATAATGTGCTTTTCATCTAAATTGCTGCATATTGGGGGTTGAATCATGCTGGGAGTTTGACGTATGTAAGGAAAATTATTAGGTTGATGGAATATAAAGATTCTTATAATAAAAGCCAGTATTTTGGCATTTATAAATGAATCTGAAAAGGGTGAAGAATTTCATTGTTTTGCAATCAATACCACAAAATGTGGCCCTTGTGTTCCACTGGCCCTGAAAATTGTTTCAGATCTTTCCTTGGTGCAGTGTATATTAAATAGTAAAATGGACATATGTCACAAAACAGATTTATTCCTACAAATTTACATAAAAAATAAGAAGTGAAAAAATAAACACAGATTTTGATGTGCTGGCTTGGGAGCCCAGAGACCAGGGCTTTTAAATTGTTGCGTGACCTCAGCCATGTACCTGTGCCTCTCAAGGCCTAAGGTCCTCTCTGTAAAAAAGGAGGCTACATTATAATTTCAGCTCAAATGTCCTTGGAGACTCTCATTATTTTCTAATTTTAAATTATGCTTTTTCTAATAGTAAATAAGAAACTAAACTGTATTCATGTAGGACAGAGAATTCTTTGTTGTTTTGACTTTGTTTTGTTTTTGAGACAGAGTCTCACTCTGTTGCCCAGGCTGGAATGCAGTGGCACAATTTTGGCTCACTGCAACCTCTGCCTCCCGGTTTCAAGCAATTCTCCTGCCTCAGCCTCCCATGTAGCTGGGATTACAGGCTTCGCTACCATGCCTGGCTAATTTTTGTATTTTTAGTAGAGACAAGGTTTCACCATGTTGGCCAGGCTGGTCTAAAACTCCTGACATCAAGTGATCTGCCCGCCTTGGCCTCCCAAAGTGCTGGGATTACAGGCATGAGCCACTGCACCCAGCCTACTTTGTTATTACTATAGATGTCAGATACAATTAATTTCTCTGAGTTTCTCTTTAAAGATTTAGCCTGCTAACTTCCTTGTCCTTTGTTTTCAAATCTCAACTTTCCTGTTCCTCCTTGCCCCTAGTTATTGTAAAACAGCCTACCCCCTTCCTGTCAGTTCTAATCAATACCTCACATCTGTTCCCTTGGTTACCTGCACCCATTGTTCCCCCAAAACAGCATGTCTCACACGCTTCACCACTGTACCTTACATCCCCTTCTCTTCCATATTTAGAAAAATATTCGCAAGTAGTCAGTCGGGTCAGCTCAGACTGTTTGGTCCAACCCCAGCCCATGGGGGAGGGACACAGAGGTAGGGATTGTATTAAGGATATAGAAACCGCTGGTGTCCTTTGTTCTTTGTGCTCTTGCAATCTTGATTGACTTGAGTGGCACCCTTCTGCAGAAGTAAATTGCCTTGCTGAGAAAACTTTTGCCTGAGTGCTGGTTTTACTTTGCAGCACTGAGCATTTATTCCTAGTGCATTTGTATATCCAACATAGAATATTTTATAAGACAAAAACAAAGACTCAATTTGTAATATGAATTCTCTCCCTCCAGGTCAGAGGCTATCCACTCCCTCCCAACTCATTCATTTGTTTAATGTGTTCAGATTTTCTTAGTCAGTGTTGTGATTATCTATTGCTAAGTACATAAGTCTCACTTCATTTAATTAAGTTCCACTAGCTTAAGTTTCACTAAGTTCCACTTAGTTTAAGTTTCAACTATGAAACTTAATGGCTTGAACATCCATTTTATTTTGCTCATGAATTTGGGAAGGACTCAATTATGCAGCCCACCTCTTTCTGGCTGGAGGGGTAGGGGATGGAGAACCCACTTCCAGGGTAGTTTCTCCACTCAGATCCCTGGCACATTGACAGGGCAGCTGGAAGGCTCCTCTGGGCCTCTCCATGTGGTCTTTCAGCATACTTGTCTGAGGATAGTCAGACTTCTAACGAGCCATCTCAGGTTTCCCAGAGAGGGTATTATAAAAGACAGGAAGAGGAAGCTGCCAATTTCTTAAAGCTGTGGCCAGAAACAGGCACAGTGGCACTTCTGCCATATTCTATCAGTAAAGTTGCTACAGAACCCTCCGAGATTCAAGGAGAGGAAACACAGAGCCCACTCATCAGTGGGAGGAGTGTAAAAGAATTTGTGACTATTTAAAATCTACCTCAAAGTAGGCTGCTGTACTGATGTCAGTTTTTATTTATTGAGTGCTTAGCAGGCATAGTAGCTCCTTTAATCTTTCCAATAACTCTGTAAGATAGATATCTTTATTAACCCTATTTTACAGATGACGAAACTGAGACACAGAGAAGCTGATCAAGCGGCCCAATCCCCCCAGAACGGTATGTGAGCTAGGTTTTGAACATAGGCAGTTTGCACATGGGAAATTAATGAGCTAATTAGGTTATTTATTGTCATAACGTCATGTAATTATTACAGCAATGATAAGGCACATTACAAGCACTATGCAAGTAAGTAGCCTTTCCATGTTCCAGGTAAGTACCCTTCTTGGTTGGGGATGGTCCCAGCTGCTTTTTTGCTGTGGGTTCAGAAGATTGTGCCTATGGGTGAGTAATGGACTGTTCAAGGGCACCTTCCACAGGAATCTTTGTCAGTTTCTCTAGGCATGAATCTTGCAAACAATATAAAAGTCTTCAAGCAACACACACACACACACACACACACACACACACACACACACAGAGTACCAGAAACCCAAGATCAACAGGTTGACAAAACAGTTGGAGGGGGCCAGGCGTGGTAGCTTATGCCTGTAATCCCAGCACTTTGGGAGGCTGAGGTGGGCAGATCACCTGAGGTCATGAGTTGGAGACCAGCCTGGCCAACATGACGAAAACCTGTTTCCACTAAAAATACAAAAGTTAGCTGGGCGTGGTGGTGCGCACCTGTAATTCCAGCTCCTCGAGAGGCTGAGGCAGGAGAATCGCTTGAACCGGGGAGGTGGAGATTGCATTGAGCCAAGATTGTGCCACTGCACTCCAGCCTGAGGTGACAGAGTGAGACTCCATCTAAAAAAAAAAAAAAAAGAAAAAGAAAATGGAGGGAATTTCAGAGAGAGAATACAAGTTACACTGGTGCTCCTGTCCACAGCGTCCTATGAACACGTTACAGATGGCACAGCTAACAAAGCCCTCTTCTGCGTGGAACATGTGTTTCAGCCCCCTGAGGGCTATTACCTGGTTAGTGAGAGGATATCACTTTCCAGCATCTGTTAATTGAGTGACGCCATACTGCACCACAGGAACAATGGAATGTTTGGGTGCCATGGAAATTAGTACCAAGGCAATCTTGCCAGGCACTTGGGTATAGCCTTTGTACATGTAGCCCACTTTTATCTTGCCCAAACTTCAGACTGATTTATTTTTTAGACCAGATATTCAGAGTGAGTCAAACCCCTTTAATCCAAGATCCCCTAACAATACAGAGAGGAAGCTGCCCTGCCCAATAGCAAGGCTGCTTGACACTTTGAGGAACTGAGCTCAGTCCTCCCAGGAAAGGCACACCTTCAATGCTACCTTATCCCTTTAGTTTGCCCTGACTCTTCTGGGAAAATGAACTGCTCTCCAATCTGTATTCAACGCATTCCTCTAGAATAGCTTATTGAGTACTTCCTATGTTACTCTCTTTCTGCAGAATACTTTTGGGAATCAACTCATTTAATTTATACCAGAACCACGGAGTCTTCCCATCCACATCTGACAGAGTTGATGAAAACTCAAGAGGTTATGTAACTTGCCAAAAATCACACAGGTTGTCCTGTCTGCCTCAAAAGTCCACAAATTTGACCACACAGCCCTGCTGCCTCCCACTGAACACAGGGGCCTATATGTATCTGTCCCCATGTCCAGTTCCCCATCAGGTTGTAAACTCCATTAGGGCTGGGGCTGGTGCTGAGTAACGCTCCCAGGACCTAGTACATTCTCAGTAAATGCTTGAATCAAGTTTGCAAAGGTTGAGCATCTCCAGGGTTCCATGGGCCCAAGAATCCTAACTCAAAATTGGTGTATCTCACACACCTTCTACTCTAGGAAGCATAATGACCTAGGGTTTCTGGTGTAGTTTGAAATCCATTGCTGTGCTTGTAATGAAGGTCATGCTTTCACACATGACTTCTCATCCATGACTGAGTGGTTGGGGGGATAACAAGGCAGACCCATGCCTGGGAAGGGGGGTACTCTAGGTCAGTGGCTCACTTTGGTTCAAAGACTCCCAAGTCTTTTGCCAAATGTTCATTAGACACACCTGGCAGGTAGGATGTTCCCACTCAACCTTTGATCTTGATCTCCTTCACTGGGGTTAGACTTGCATTGTTGTTTGACAGCTTCCCAGCCAACCCTGGCTCCATCATCTCTATTTCCTTTTACACAGGCACTTTCTCCAGTAAAATTCTTGCATGTTTAAAACTGTCTTGACATCTGCTTTTTGGAGGACCCAGACTAACAGTGTTGATATTTCAATTTTTTATTCATTTCCTTATCATTAACTTTACTTCTATTCACTCTAAGATGACCATGTAGATTAGGGAACCCAATGTCACAGCAGCAAATCCCTCTTTTCTAAGATGCCTTTCAGGAGTTTGTCCCACATACTAGGCAGTGTGCCAGGTCCTTCATATGCAGTCTTCCCTTCACTCTCCAACAGTCCTGTGAGATCAGTAGGATGACTTTCCTATTATCCTATGATAGGTCATCCTACTGATGACTGTCCTATCATTTCATGGATAGGACATCTGAGGCTCAGGGAGGTTAAATTATTTGCCCAAAGGTCACACAGCCAAAAAATGACAGTGTTCAGATTCTAGACTGTTTATTATTTCATTTAATTCTTCCCATAAACCCAGTGGAAAATATAAGCAAGAATAAGAAAAGCTAACACTTACTGGACGCTTAGGTGTCAGGCACTTCCCATATATTTCTTCATTTAATTCCCACCACAACCCCATGAGGGAGGTACTATTGTCCTCATTTCACAGACAAGAAAACTGTGGTGGGGAGAAATTAGGAGATTTGGCCAGGGTCCCCCAGCCAGGAAGTGGCAGAGCCAGAATTCCTGCTGGGACCAACTGGCTCCAAGAGCCCATGTACTCCCTCCTTCTTGCCTCCCACTCATGGCAATACTATCCCAGCCATACGGAAAGGTGCTTTACCTTAGCTGCTGTTCATGTGGTTTTGTCTGCATCCATTGCTACTCATGAAGGGAATTACAACTCAGGAAAACTGACCTTTTCCACGTCAGATTCGACTCCAGACGCAGGTCTAGCCTTGTTTCGGAACCCTCTGCTTTTCATTTCATTTGAATCCATATTAAAACATAATAGCCTGCATATTCAATATCTTACGATTGAACACTAAGAAGCCACCAAGGATCATATTTATTGTGTTTATATTTATATACAATGTGTTGACATAGAAATTTACAGCAAGTAAAAAAGTTACAAACTGGACATATGACTCCATTTAAAAATGACATATACATAGTTGTAGATTTGGAAAATATAAAACCAACTTCTGTGTTTACGATCTCTTAGTGGTACGTTTACAGGTGGTTTTGTTTAAAGTATCATACAGAGTAACTTTGCTCTTCTAAAAATCCTCTGTTCTTTGCCTATTCCTTTCCTCCCTCATATCCCCTGGCAACCACTGATCTTTTCACTGTCCCCATAGTTTTGCCTTTTCCAGCATGCCGTATTAAATTCCCAGGAGTAGGATTGCTGGATCATATGGTTTAAGTGTGTTTAGTTTTGTAAGAAACTACCAAAATGTTTTCCAAAGTGGCTGAGCCATTTTGCATTCCCACCAGTAATGAATGAGTTCCTCCAAGTGGGCATGGTGGGTCATGTCTGTAATCCCAGCACTTTGGAAGGCTGAGGGGGACAGATCACTTGAGGTCAGGAATTTGAGACCAGCCTGGCCAACATGGTGAAACCCTGTCTCTACTAAAAATACAAAAATTAGCCAGGCGTGGTGGCACACACCTGTAATCCCAGCTACTCAGGAGGCTGAGGCGGGAGAATTGCTTAAACCCGGGAGGTGGAGACTGCAGTGGGATGAGATCATGCCACTGCACTTCAGACTGGGCAACAGAGCCAGACTCTGTCTCAAATAAAAAAAAAAAAAAAGAAAGAAAAAGAAAAAGAAGAGCTCCTCCACATCCACACTAGCATTTGTGTTGTCAGTGTTCTGAATTTCCACCATTCTAATTAGTGTGTTGTGGTATCTCAACATTTTTTCATATGCTTGTTTGCCATCTGTATCTTCTTTGGTGAGATGCCTGTTAAGGTTTTTGGTCCAATTTTAAAAGTTGGTTGTGTTCTTATTTGTGAGTTTTAAGGGTTCTTTGTATATTTTGGATAATATTTCTTTTTCCGTCTTTTACAATTTTTTCCTCCCAGTCTATGGCTTGCCTTTTCATTCTGTGACAGTGTCTCACAGAGCAGAAATTTTAAAATTGTAATGAAGTCTAGCTTATCATTTTTTTTTTCCATGGGTGGTGCCTTTGGTGTTATATCTAAAAAGTCATTGCCAAACCCAAGGTCAGGTAGATTTTCTCCTAAGAGTTTTATAGTTTTGCATTTTACATTTAGGTCTGTGATCCATTTTGTTAATTCTTGGGAAGGATGTAAGATCTGTGTCTAGTTTCACTTTTTGCTTGTAGTTGTCTTGTTCCAGCACCATTTGTTGAAAATACTGTCTTCACTCCGTCACATTGCCTTTGCTCCTTTGTCAAAGATCAGTTAACTATATTCATGTGGATCTATTTCTGGGTTCTCTATCTGTTCCACTGATCTGTCCATTCTTTGACCAATACCACACTGTCTTGATTACTGTAGTTTTATAGTATGGGTAGTGTACATTGTGTAGTGTAAGTCCTCCAATTTTATTTGTCTCCTTCAATATCATGTTGGCTATTCTTGGCTTTTGCCTCTCCATTTAAACTTTAAAATCAGTTTGTTGATACCTATAGAATAACTTGCTGGGATTTTAACTGAGATTGCACTGAATCTATAAAGTTGGCAAGAACTGACATCTTAATAATAGAGTCTTTTTATTCATGAATGTACTATCTCTGCATTTATTTTTTCTTTGATTTCTTCCAATAGAGTTTTGGAGTTTTCTTCCTATAGACCTTATACATTTTTACAAGTTTTATACCTATGTAGTTCGTATGTTGGGTACAAATATAAACAGTATTGTGTTTTAAATGTCATTCTCTGTTCACTGCTGGCATATGAGAAAGTAATTGATTTTTGTATATGAACCTTGTATCTTGCAATACTGGTATAATTACTTATTAGTTCCAGCTTTTAAAATTCATTCTGATTTTCTACATAAATGGTCGTGTCATTTGTGAAAACATTTTACTTCTTCCCTTCTAACCTGCATACTTTTTATTTCCTTTTCTTGTCTTACTGCATTAGCTAAAACTTCCAGTATGATGCTGAAAAGCAGTGGTGAAGGGGGCCATCCATGTTTTGCTCCTTAGAGTGCAGTGGCATGATCATGGCTCATTGTAGCTTGACTGCCTGTGCTCAAGCAATCCTTCCACCTCACCCACCTGAGCAGCTGGAACTACAGTTGTGTGCCACCATGCCTGGCTAATTTTTGTATTTTTTGTAGAGACAGGGTTTCATCATATTGCCCAGGTTGGAGCTTTTTTTTTAAATTATTATTATTTTTATTTTTATAGATGCTCTTTATCCAGTTGAGGAAGTTCCCATGTTTTCCTAGTTTACTGAGAATTATTTTCATGATTGTGTTGTATCTTGTTAGTATTTTGATTTGCTGAGAATTACTGCATCTATGTTCATGAGAAATATTGGCTTACAGTTTTTTGTTTTTGTTTTTGTTTTTTTTTTTTTGAGACGGAGTTTCACTCTTGTTGTCCACGCTGGAGTGCAATGGTGTGATCTTGGCTCACTGAAACCTCCACCTCCCAGGTTCAAGTGATTCTCATGCCTCAGCCTCCCAAGTAGCTGGATTACAGGCATGCACCGCCATGCCCAGCTAATTTTTATTAGTAGTAAAAACAGGGTTTCTCCATGTTGGTCATGGCCGGTCTCGAACTCCTGACCTCAGGTGATCCGCCTGCCTTGGCTTCCCAAAGTGCTGCAATTACAGGCGTGAGCCACTGCGCCTGGCCTACAGTCTTTTTATAATCTTTGGTTTTGAAATTGAAGTAATGCTGGCCTCCTTGACTGAGTTAGGATATATTCTTTCTGCTTCTATCTCTGGAAAACACTGTAGAGAATTGGTATAATTTCACCCTGCGTGTTCAGTAGAATTCACCAGTGAATCCATCTGGGTCTGGTGCTTTCTGTTTTGGAAGGTTATTATTGATTCAGTTTCCCTAATAGATATAGGTCCATTCAGATATAGGCCTATTTCTTCTTGTGTACGTTTTGGCAAATTGTCTTTTAAGGTCCATCTAGGTTATCAAATTTGTTGGCATGAAGTTGTTCATGATATTCCTTTATTATCCTTTAAACGTCTATGGGCTCTTTATTGAAGTCGCTTCTCATTTCTGATATTAGTTGTGTCCTTTTTTTTTCCCCCTTAGCTTGGCTAGAGTTTTACTGATGTTATTAATCTTAAAAAAAACAAAAAAAAAAACAAAAAAAAAAAAACTTTTGGTTTTGTTGAGTTTCTCTACTGAAATACTTCTTCTTCAATATCATTGATTTCTACTCTTAATTCTTGTCTTCTGCTTGCTTTGGATTTGCTTTTCTTTCTCTAGTTTCCTAAAGTGAACACATACATGATTGATTTTAGAACTTTTTTTTTTTGAGACAGAGTATCACTCTTTTTGCCCAGGCTAGAGTGCAATGGTGCGATCTCAGTTCACTGAAACCTCCGCCTCCCAGGTTCAAGTGATTCTCCTGCTTCAGCCTCCCAAGTAGCTGGGATTACAGGCGCCCGCCACCACACCTGGCTAAGTTTTGTATTTTTAGTAGAGAGGGGGTTTTGCCATGTTGGCCAGGCTGGTCTCAATGTTCACTAGATCCAGCTGGTTGATGGTGTTAAGTACAACAATGTCCTTGTTGATTTTCTGCCTGCTAGTTCTGTCCATTAGTGATAAAGGGGGTGTTGAAGTCTCCAACTATGAGAGTGGATTCATCTATTTCTCATTGCAGTTCTACTGGTTTTTGCCTCACATACTTTGATACTCTGTTGTTAAGTGCATTGGTCAAATAATTGAGAATGAGGTTTTGAAAGAGCTCTAGCTTTGTTTTGTTCCTTCTGGTGGCTGCTAGGCTGCAACAGGAATGTGGGCTGTTAGTTTTCAGGGCTTCTACAGCTGGACAGCGAAAAAGGCGACGAATCCAAGTTAAAACATGACCAAGACTGTTGTCCTTAGGTAGATTTAGTAGTTTTTCTTAAATTAAATGCTCTTGAGGTTGCTGACAGCCTTTAATTTTCAGACTTCTGTAACAGTCAATTCTGAGAAATTTTGCCAGTTTTATCACGGCTCTTATGAAGAAGCTAATTTTCGGAGCTCATTACTCTTGCCATTTTCACTGACATCATTTAGCAAAAGCTTTTCGACCATTTGGGCTTTAAAGATGAAAATTTATGTTGGCTTCCATGAAGGGATTAAAAAAAAAGATGAAAATTTAGTTTTCCTTAAAGAAGGGTAAAGAGATAGAAATATAAGATTAAATTACTATTTTTTTTCAATGAAAACACATGGACACAAAGAGGGGAACAGACACTAGGGCCTACTTGAGGGTGAAAGGTGGCAAGAGTAAGATGTTCAAAAAACTACCTATTACCTGGGTGATGAAATTATCTGTACACTAACCCCCTGTGGCATGCAGTTAACTTATATAACAAACCTGCATGTTCCCTTGATCCTAAAATGTTTTAAAAAACTAGTTTCAAATTACAGAAATATTTCAACCTGTATTTCAATTCTAATTAAGATAGTAGACAGATAAGAGTCATACGGGAAAGGGGAATGAGACAACCACAAGGAAATGAAAAGTAACACAAAAAGAGGAATGAAGCAGAGAGATGGAGACATTTTTTAAGTGCTGGAGATGGAGAGATGATAGAGAACTGATCTAGAATGGAGAGCACTAGATATCAGCATTTTTTGTCTTAAAAGTAGTCACTAGCCAAACTTTCCTATCTTGTTTCAGATTAGGTTGTACTTTGAAAGGGATGAACACAGCAACACACCAGAGAGGGGCCCGGTGCTACATTCTTCTGGAGACTGAGGTAGGGAAGAGGTCGGTTTTCTACCTTTGGAAAAGAGCAGATCCAACAACCAACCAATCAGCAGCACTGCCAAGCAAGAACTTTCCAACTCAAAACACATGTTTGCTGCCCAGTTTTATATCTGGACTACTCACACTCTAAGGGTACCACAAAAAGGGAAGGAACAGGAATAAAGGAAAGGCTACCAAGCATACCCATGGAAAAGCTGAAAACAGCACAAATCGGTTGACATCATTTTGGCCTGACTGTGGAAATGGAACCCAAACTATCCTCCCCAAAATGGCAGAGAATACTGCCCCATCCCACTGAGGTAGGGGTTGGCCACATGATTTGTTATGGCCAGTGGAGTGCTGGCAGATGTGATGCACGCAGAAGGCACAAACCATACTTGTGTGGTTGGGCTTGCCTTCTTATGCTTCTACCATCAGTGTGGAAACTTCTGTATAACTTTTGTATTTTAGCCCAGGCCCAAGGATGAACATAGATGGAGCAGGTGGAAACACAACTCATAGCAGGTGGTAAAGCCCAGCCAGAGACCCAGCTTGAAGCAGTCACCCACACAAGCTGATGTCAGCCAATCTGCAGAGGCATGAATAAGAATGATTATTTTAAGCAACTGAGATTTGGGGTGGTTAGGTGGCAACAGCATCTGAAACATTAAGTAGACATCATTCTTTTAGGATCCACTCCTGAGGTCAAACTATGTTACCTCCCCCTTTACTGCTGTATGCCAAGAGCCTAGCACAGTTCCTGGCACATAGCAGGTGTTCAATAAATACCTGTTGCAGTCAGATTTACGTGTTTCTTCTAAAAATAGCAATCTAGGAGAATAAAACTGAGAACTTACATAATTAAGTGTTCAGTGTGTGTCGCAACTTCAAAATCAACAATTTCAACAAAGACCAGATTGCATGTCAGCAGTCATTAGGGGGTTAAGAGCACTGACTACAGACATGACTGCCTGGATTTGAATCTAGGCTTCACAAATTACCAGCCAGGTGACCTTGGGCCAACACTACTTCATCTCCCTCTCTTTCCTCATCTGTTAAATGGTGCTATAAATAGTATCTACCACATGGAACAGTTGTGTGGATTAAGAGATAATTTATTTCAAGTACTTACAACCTTGCCCAGTACATGATAAATGCTGCATAGGCATTTTCTATTATTACCTGCATAAAGACCATTTTAAGAAAGGTTATTAAAGCCCTCTTCACCTGTTCCTCTCATCACCTATTTATATCCATTTGTTCTCACTTCTATTATCTAATCTTGTACATGTTTCCAATTAGCTCTTTTGTACATTTTCATCATCTTTCTATGCTCAGGATTGCTAAGTGCCAATATCTACTCTATCCCAAAGCGCCCCTCCGCCAACTCCACCAACTATTTAAAGAACTGCTGATTTTGTTCTTTTCACACAGGGTATCATTTGCCCCCTTCTCCATCTGTTCAAATCTGATTCTCAATGTCCGGACCTAGTCTTCCATGATGCCTGTTCTGATCTTCCCTCCCAATGTGATCTTAATCTGTACCTTTTATCAATTCATCTCTACCTCAATTACACTTTTATTACTTTCTACTTATACCTTTCCACAATGAAATTAATTGTAAGCTCCTAAAGGACAAGATCACAATTTCTTGGTTTTCTGCCCATTCCTACTGCCAAGTATACAGCTGGCAAGCAATATTTGTTGAATAAATATATTTGAAAATCCCATATAGATAGGTTCATGTAAAGTCTAAATCAGCTTTGCTAAAAAGTCACTTTTTTTTTTTCTTAAAAAAAGAAAAAAAATTGTCAATTCAATGCTAGACAGTTTAAGGGAAAAGAAGTTTGCATGTAAAAGAGACAGACACTTGATTTATTGCATTAAAAAACTTTATTTCTTTTAAAAGGTCCAATATAAGCCAAATTAACCCCAAAATTTACAGCTACACTTTGAGATCTCCTGAACTAAATGGCACTGTTTGAGATGAGTGTCTTGTTAAAGGAGGTCATTTGCTATTACCACCATTTCACCCAAAGTAGTTCTAGAGCAGAAGCTGGTATTATAATACACATCAGATATTTCAGGTGTCATCTTTTATGCATAAGTTAAAGAAAGCAAACAGGCTTTTCTACTCTGTGTGAGGATAAGAAACACTACAGAACAGGGCCTGAATGCTTTAGATATACAAGGTGTAACCATAAAGGAAATTTCTACGGCACTGTGTTCATTCATTCAAGTAGTTCATGTACTTATTCCAACAATACCAGTGTAGTTCAAATACCATTTGAGACAGTACTTTGGGGTTTCCCTTCATTGGGTGCAGACCAAAGGAAGTGGTTAAGCTGGGGGGCAGACTCTCACAGATGGATTACAAAAGTAATGAAATAGTTTTCTTAGTGGGGTGGCATTCGCAAGAACTACCTTAATGTTTTTGGTAACAGCATCATTTACATATAAGTGATGCACGATAGAAGTTCTGGTATATGTGATAAATTAAAAACAGCTTGTCACTTTATAGCCACACCTTGGATTTCATTAGATGTGGTAAATCTAATAGTGTGTCAAATGAGTCCTTCTGGAAATCACTTCAGCAGAGAAATCAAACAGCCTGTAAAAGAGAAGACATGGCAGAATGTGCGAGATTCATCCTTCCAACATTCTCAGGGTTCTCTTGGAGGACAGACCCGGGCCCAAAGACAGAAGTTACCGGGAGGGAGGCTTCAACTCCATCTAAGGAAGACCTTTCTAACAGTTAGAGCTGCTCAACAACTGAATGGACTGCTTGGTGAGGTAGAGTCACTTGGAAGTGTTCAAGGTGGAAAGATCACCCTTGTAGAAGGGACTCCTGCATTTGTTAAGAGGTTAGAGAGTGGATGAACCTCAGGTCTCTTTCAATTCTGAGATTCTAGAAAATTCCCTCAGGGAATTCAGAAGAGAATTCCTAAAAGGAAAGAGAAAGCACACATATGTATACTTTTAGAATCTGCTTGAATTTTCTTTTTTCTTTTTTTTTTCAAAAGGTACAATAGAAAATGTAGTCCACTGCCATTAAAATGCATATTCACCTTCCTACTACTAATAATTAGGAAGGGTTCATTATGACTTCTTTATATTATAAAGAAAAGATGGGGGATTAGACTTATAATTTCTGTAAATATTTTAGAAAAAATGCTTAAAATCTAGTAGTCAATGCCCTAGAAACTTTATAGATTTGTAGATAATATGCACAGATACAAATACATTATTCATTAAATACAACTCACATCTGTGTTTTATTATACTCTAAAATATACAGGAATCTTGATGTACTGAAAGAGTGCAAGTAAATACAGTATTCAAGCAGTCACTATTTCTATGTACATGCTCATTAATTCTTCAAAAAACCCACAAAATTATCAAATAGATCAAAATACTGTTCTGTGTTTTCACACTTTATATTCAGAAAAACCAGCTGATAATTTACAATGTCATAAAGTTTCCAGTTTCACAATACAAAAAGGATAAAATGAAATTGGGTATCATTTTGTTGCAATTTATAGAACTTTACCCATACCTGTAAGACCCTCAATGTTTATGAAATCATTTTCACTGGGAAAGTGACAGTTACAGTAAAAGCAGAACCACACAAATATTTATTTAAAGCTGAAATATCAGCCTTCTCTCTCTCTTTTGCTATTTGAAAGTAGTCTTCAATTTGGCAGGCAACTGCTTCTCTCTCCAAATAGTAACAGGTTACAAACATGCTACTTTAAATATGAATAGGACCTAAGGCTTTAGTATTTTAAATCTTGCCCAATACAGAAATGCCTTCCAAGAGACTTAGTGATGTTTAATTTATGAACAACAAGGAAGTATTTTCCTTTTGATTATTCACTTTTTCAAAACTCATAGATCAGAATAAACATAAAAAATCCCCCAACCCAAGGTGGGGACACAAAAGTAACCTAAGCGACTAAGGTGTGCCATTCAAAGTAGAGAGGTTGAAGACTCCATACCCCAGAACCACTTAGCTGCAATAGGGTGAAATAATCTACTTTTCGATTTCATGAATTTTTTTTTTTTTGGAAATTCTTTACATTTTTAAACAAAAATAGTACTATTTTAAACCCAAACCATTCAAAACAGGGCAACAGCCTGACCCCAATCCATCTCAATGTCTATGTCACAAGTATTTTCACCCGTATTGCACCCAGTCAGCTGGTTTTAAATTCTAATAGTATAAAAATTGGAAATTTGAAATATTTATGTAAAAGAAAAAAATGTAAAAATACATCTGCTTTCTCTCATGGTTTAATACAGCATTGGAAGGCTTTCAGATATTTTCTTAAAAAAAAAAAAAAAACAACTCAACATTTAAAACCAAATCTCAGCTTCATTTCCAGAAATATTGCAGTTTGGTTTAGGTAATGTTTCATTTCATCTACTCCAGTTCCCACAAAATGGCATTTTATTAAAAAAACCTTTCAGTTATTTGGTCCTTTTGCAATTTGCTGTGCACATAATGCCTACTACCAAACTTTTATTGCCTTTAAATTTAGTTGTAATTTTATTGATAAAATTTAAATCTAGTGTCTTTATGTCTTCTGTTACAATAGTGTTGCTTGTGTAAGCAGGTTAGAGTGCACAGTGTCCCCAATTATTCCTGGCACTGCAAAACCAAATTAAACAATTCCACAAAGAACTCTGACATCAACGTGTTTTCCTCAGTCAAGTCTATTTCAAGATTCTAGAAGTTCCTTTTGTAAAACTTGCCTTTAAAACTCTTCCTCCTAATGTCATCACATCTCTTAACACTGGCTCACTGTGCGATCTTTCCTCTTAGGTTGAATTTCTACGTGAATATCAAAGTGCCTTTTTCCTGAAAAAGCACAGTTTGAAGCTTTACTGTGAGAACTCCCTCCTCCTCAGCCTCTCAGTAGGTCTCAGAATCGGAGTCGTTGAGCTCATCCACGTCAGTGTATAAGTACTCCTGTTCCCCGCCAATGTTATTGAAACTGCAATAGGAGCTAGGTTCATTCCTCATGATGGGCAAAGCTTCAAAGCTGACTGTTTTTGAGGTGTTGGTATAACGGTTAATGGCATTGAATGTCAAGGATGATAAAGGACTACTTGATGAGACAGGCATCATGGTGGCCAAAATGAGAGCCAGGCAATCAGCCACATCCTTATTGGGAGCACAGGCCAAAGCTGGGGTATAGCCTAGAATTAAAGATAAAATTTAAAAATCAAGCATCCTGAGACATATTTCAGCAAAGATAAGGAAATAAGCCTAAAGTACTTCAACTTTAGACATATTTTACATTACGTAGCTTATAATAAATTGCTGTAACCAGCATGATTTACAAGTTTCTATTAAGTAGAAAAAGAATAGCCATAGAAACCTAGGGTGGAAGGAGACGTTAGACTAGACAACAGAATAGGAAACAGGCCCTGAGAAGAACGACTTCCCCAAGATCTCACAACTTATCCGTATCCATCTGAATTCACAGAAGAAACTGGGCTAGAATAAGAAAACCACCACAGATCAGTGAATCTTCTTTCAGGATGGTAAGCAGAGATTTAATGTTAATTTGTAGTTTTATCAGTGTCAAGATAAGAAAAAATAAAAAAATTTAATTTGTAGTTATGTAAGGAAGCTTTTTGACGCTAACAAATCTAAATGTGTATAACTTCATGGATCCGCCACAGGGCAGGTGCTCAGAAGATAGGTGTTGAACGAATGACACTTGGTTGTCAATTTAACTTTTCTCTTGGGGTCATAGTCTCTTGAAGACAAACTAAACAGATGAACTTTAAAAACTACTAAATCAAAACAAATATTTCCTTTGTAAATATTCTTTTTTAAGCAGAAGACAACTGACCTTAGTCATAAGTTACCACAAAGTGTCAACACAGCAAACCAAGGAGGAAACATTTGGTACCTCAGTTGGTACAACACTCAGTCTTGAGGATGGAGTGGGAGAAAAGTGAGAATAGTGTGATGCCAGGCTTCAATTATACCACATGGAACTTTAATAGTTTATCACAAAACATACATTTGTATAACCACCACACAGGTTAAGAAAGAGAACACTACCAGCATACCAGAGGCCTCCATATATCCTCTACCCAATCATTATACCTTTCTTCTTCCACAATGGTAACTACTATCCTGGCTTATGGGGTAGTAATTTCCTTGCTTTCAACTTGGAGTCATAAACACTATAGCTTTTTTTTTTTTTTTTTTGAGACAGAGTCTTACTCGGTCACCCAGGCTGGAGTGCAGTGGTACAAACTTGGATCACTGCAACCTCTACCTCCCAGGTTCAAGTGATTCACCTGCCTCAGCCTCCAGAGTAGCTGGGATTACAGGTGTGTGCTACCACACCCAGCTAATTTTTTATATTTTTAGTAGAGATGGGGTTTCACTATGTCGGCCAGGCTGGTCTCAAACTTCTGGCCTCAAGTGATCTGCCTGTCTCAGCCTCCCAAATGCTGGGATTACAGATGTGAGCCACCTTACCCAGCCTACAGTTTAGTTTTGAGTTTTTAAAAAACTTAATATAAATGGAATCATATAGTATGTATTATTTCATATCTGGCTTTTTTGTGTTGCATTATGTGAGATTTGTCAATATTATATGTAACTGTAGTTGGTTCATTTTCATTGTTATACAGTATTTCACTGTGCGATTATACTATGGTTTAGTTACACATTTCAACTATTGGGCATCTGGTTGCTTCCAGTCTCCCACCTATTTTCATCTATGCTATATTAGCCTTGATAAAGAAAGGATTTATTTATTTATTTATTTATTTTGAGACAGGGTCTTGGTTCTGTCACCCAGGCTGGAGTGCAGTGTGATGATCATGCTCACTGCACCCTCAACCTCTGGGCTCAAGTGATCCTCCCACCTCAGCCTCCTGAGTAGCTGGGACTATAGGCACATGCCATGCCTGGCTAATTTTTAAAATTTTTTTGTAGATACAGGGTCTCGCTTTGTTGCCCAGGCTGGTCTCAAACTGCTGGCTTTAACCGATCTTCCTGCCTCTGCCTCCCAAAATGCTGTGATTACAGTAGTAAGCCACTGTGCCCAGTCACAAAAAGTAATTTTTTTCCCCCTTTGTAAAGTTCCCATTTTGTCAAGGGTCAAAGAGAACAACTGATGTCCTTCCAAGTTTGGCAGCAGTGGCTGAAGGCTGTCTGTACTTTTAATTAAATTTTATTTGTCCAAAGTAGCTAGGGGAGTGCTTCACTGCCCACGTTTCCTTCAAGGGTTCTTCTAAAGGTGCCTGCTGCTATTGTTCCAGCTGCTGGCAGGCAGAACAACCCATTACATAGGCCAGGATGCCTTGGATGATAGTGGGGGTGGGGAAAGAAGCATGTTTCATGTGTGTTTTCTAGTCAGAATATGACTAAAAATAGGCTCCTCTCCTCTGCATGGGAGTTATTTTTTGAAACGAAGTCTCGCTGTGTCACCCAGGCTAGAGTACAGTGGCGTGATCTCGGCACACTGCAACCTCTGCCTCCTGGGTTCAAGCGATTCTCCTGCCTCAGCCTCCCAAGTAGCTGGGATTACAGGTACGTGCCACCACACCTGGTTAATTTTTGTAGTTTTAGTAGAGACGGGGTTTCGCCATGTTGGCGGGGCTGGTCTCAAACTCCTGACCTCAGCTGATCCACCCGCCTTGGCCTCCCAAAGTGCTGGGATCACAGGCATGGGCCACTGTGCCCGGCCAGTTATATCTCTTAACATGCCACTTTCTTTGCTTAGAAAGTTCCTTCCCCACTTTCTCCTTATCCTTTGGATTTTGGCTTAGCAGTCACATTTTTTTGGGATGCCTTCTCTGATCCTGCAAGAAAGGATTTGAAGACCCTCTTAAGTACTCTCATAGCATTCTATGCTTATTCCAATTAAACTATTTTAAGTGCATCATTAATAGCCTGTTTACACTCTTATCTCCAAGGGAGTAGACTATGTCTTATTTTACACTGTATCCTCAGAAGTTAGTACGGTGCTTGGCACAATCACTCAGGCAGCAAATATTCACTCATGCAGCAAATATTCACTGAGCCTCCACTTGCTCAGGCACTATTCAGAACACTAAGAATATATCAGTGAATGCAACTGATAAAGATTTCACTGTTCTTGTGGAGCTTACATTCACTTTAGTGGGGAAGACACACAATCAACATAATAAACAATATGTTAAAAGCTTTATGTAAAAAAAGAGGAAAGAGTGAAGCAGGTTAACAAGGACTGAGAATGCCGTGGTAGGAGTATCTAGCAAGTTGTAGTACAGAGTAGTTAGAATATGCTTCATTGAGAAGATGAAAGTGGAGCTAAGATTTGAAACAGGTGACGGATTTAGTCATGGGATGTTTGGGGACAGAGTGTTCAGGCAGAGTAAACAGTCAGAATGAAGATCACAATGCATGTATAACCCTGCTGTGGAGGGGCTGGCATTGCAGAATCAAGTAGAGAAAGGAGAAGACTAGGAAACAGTATCAGAAAGGTGACGAGGTGGAGGACACATCATATAGGGCCTAGTAAAGTCATTTTAAGAACTATGAATGGGGCCAGGTGGAGCACTCTGGGGGCGAGGTGGGGGATGCGGAGGCAGGAGTTCAGACAGCTGGACAATAGGAGAGCTACACCACAAAAAAAATAGCTGGGCAGGGTGCATACTTGTAGTGCTAGCTACTTGGGAGGCTGAGGTGAGAGGTTCTCTTGAGCCCAGGAGTTCAAGGTTACAATCAGCTATGATCTACCACTGTACTCCAGTCTGGGCAACAGAGTGAGACCCTGTCTCTTTACAAAACAAAACAATACAAAACCAAACCGAACCGAAATTCAAGAGTAACATGTTCTCATATACTTTAAAAGGATCCAGGACAGGCTGGTAGCAATAAATAAAAAAGTGGGCATATTTTAAATCTACTTTAGAGGTGGAGTCAATAGTGTATGCTGATGGACTATACACTGGGTATGAGTGAGAGGAATCAAGGATGACTCTAGGGGTTTTGCCCTGAGCAATTATAAGAATAAGAATTGTCTTCAATGGAGATCATGATGTTGTGGGGAGAGTAGGTCTGGCAAGGGGAGTGGAAAAGGATCAACCATTCAGTTCTGGACTTTCTAGGTTTAAGTTGTTTATCAGATATCCACATGGATATGTCAGTTAGGCACGTGGATATACAGAGACTATGAGAAGTCTGGGTTGGAGATACAAATCTGGGAATTCTCAGCATATAGGTAGTATTTAAAACCAAAGGAATTGATGAGAGCACTAGGGAGTCAATGTAGAT